CTTAATATTTTTCTTCTTTACATTAAAATTTTCATTTCATTATTAAAAATTTTTCGGCTATTTAATTAAAATTTATATTGTCCGTCTATAATAATATTTTTCGAATTCAATGAATTTGCATGAAGTAGGTATTATTAACGCTTTTCATAGTTGTTTTCCAAATATTGAAAGTGTACATACTTTCACTTCAAAATTTAAGAGTTTCAGGAGTAAAGAATTCTAATCCGAAATATTACATTAGGGATTATATGGATTTCAAACTTTTATAAAAACTCATTTTTGAATTGAGAGTCCAAATTTATCTGTACAATATTAATTTTTGTGAAAACTTGTTATGTATTTTTTGGAATAATTAAGATTTTCACAAATTAGAGAATAAAATGAAGTTTAAACCACATTTCCAATTCACAGATTGAGTCTATTCCGAAAAATTTTCCTTATTTTGATTGTTCCGCAATTATTTTCTAAAATTTTTATCTTATGCTTTCCAGAAAGTAACAGTTAAGCTCTTGTATGTATAATTTTTCGTTTAGCCAACCTGTGACCCATTGTGCCAACCATTTTCACTTTTTAATTTTCCAAGTACTTTTTTTATTAATATTGTTCGTTAGAGTTTTTTGACTCTCGGAACGACAAAAATTTTCCATGTCTTTCATGTTTTTTCATGTCAAAATTTTTTGATTAAATGATTAAAACTTAAATGTGGCTGTATCAACAGGCTCTAGAATCAGAAGAAAAGTAAAATTTTCGTTTATAATCATTATTATTATCAATAGAAACGTCAGAATAGAATCGGTTTGCGCGAATAAAATTTTTTTTTTATAATAACACGTAAAAATTTCAAAATTGACAATTTCAGAATTTGACGATTTTACTTTTGACCGTCACAATCAAGCAATGATTGCAACTAATAAACTAAAATATTGTAGCATTTTTGTAATTATGATCTGAATTTCTTACAAGCGTCTTATGTATGGTTAATTCAAACCAAAACCTTGTTCTTTAAGGACATCCCATGTACGAAAAAATATTTTACCCATTTAATATTAATAAATGTATTGTTTCTGTAGGTATTTCACGGTTTTTTTTCTGTTTTTATAATAAAAAAAAAAATAAAGGAAAAGAAAAATTTACCTAATTAAAAATCTGACCAAACGGTAATATAACTGACAGCTGATGTATTTTTTATGCTTCATTTTTTCTCATTCTCTTTTTTACTTACATACCAACATACAGACTTGGATATATTTTCTTTTTTTTATTTCTTCTAAAGGGAATCATAAAATTTCATGAAAAAATATTGGAATAAATAAAACATGGTTTCTGTTTTTTATCTTCTTCTAAATTATAGAAATAAAAATCTTCCGTTTCCTTTTTTACTCTTCCAAGTATGAGCGTACATACATACTCACATATTGTATGCCTACATTTTAAAAATCCTAATTTGCACAAAAAAAAAGTGTTTAATTTGGGTGAGAAAATGAAAAAAAAAATTTTTTTTTTTTTAAAACCTATGTTGTTTTAATGGCTTGGTCGGGATAATATTTTTAAAATTAAAGAATATAAAAAACATTATTCTATGTGTGGGCATTATTAAATCTAAAGGTCAAAATTTTGAAAATCGTAACACGTTTCTTTTATAAGATCATATTAATTCCGAAAATTTCCTAGTAATATCTATGTACATACTAACAATAAAATACTATGTGACCTAAACACATTCAGCATGAAAACGGACATGGATAAATCATTATGTCCATAAGTCACAATTCAAATTACTTTGAAAATGTTTTATAATATTTTTACAATGCTATTTTAGTTGATTCAACATTTTATTTAATATATTAATAAAAATCGAAATTTTAAGGATTAAGGGTAAATAAGAAGGGGTTGGTATTATTTTAAGTCTATATTATGTCATTCATTCTTTCTATGTAAAATATTAGAATAGTCTGTCATTTATTATTTAAGCTTATATTATTTATCCACACATTAATATTAATACGAAATATATGTAGTCATATTTACTAAAGATTCGAACTGTTGAATTATTCAAAATTTATTTCAGTCTTTCCTTTTTTATATTTATTGTTCAATCAATCAGAAATATTATAGTTTATGTTAAAATATTCAATCGATTTTATGAAATTCAATACATTGGAAATAGTCCATTATATGGCATTTTGTTTAATAGACACCACTAACATTATTATTTGAATGACTAGAAATTGTAAATATTTTGATGAAATAAATTATATTTCTATATTATTATAATTTTATTTATTCTTTATAGTTAAGTTTAGCAAACAAATTTTTTGAAGATTTGTTATAGGAAATTTGAGTTAGATACCTTTGAAAATTGTTAGGGGATTAATAATTATTCGCCTCGTTATTTAATGTACAAAAGAAAAATTGGTTAACTCAAATATTTTAATTTTTTTGCGGCAAAATCGTAATGTAATCTTAAATATTTAAGATTGCGAATAAAAATTTAATTTGTGTACAAATGTACCATTTATTTCGATAATTACCGTGCGTTTAGTTTTATTCTCACCGAATAATTAAATTGTGCCATTTTTATGGGGAAAATGAACTCAAATTCATGATTAAATAACATTTCATATATAAATATGTGCCTATATAGTAAAAAATATACCGTTTATACACCTTCTTCTAATAAGTACCAAAGATTTTTTTCACCAACCACATTTTATCTTTCATTTTCAAATTTTACCCTTTATAATTTGCAAAGTTTCACTATATAAGTCAAAGCTATAACTATACTCACGCATAAAAGTAAAGTAAAATTATTTGTTGCATTAGGGCCCTAGAAATCAAAATTTTTGTACAATTTTTTCGATTCCATTGAGATTATAATATTAAACAAGTGACATACTCGTCTACACTTCGAAAGCTTTAAGTTATTTTCATATGTCATGTTTTCTTTTCTTCATAAAGAGTTTGTAAAATAAAGAAAGCACGTGAATTACATTTACTGTTAATATAGCGAATATCAGAATTTCAGCTCATTTGATGCAATGGCAAAACTTTTAACTGTAACAAGCTACAAATTTGTATTAATTATTGCGTTTTTCATAAGATTTCCTAAGATTTCATTGTAATTTCAATTATTTCGATATTTGCAAGTTATTTGCAAATATCGAAACTAATTGAGCACTTTCATAAAAGTTGACCCATAATACCGTAATTGATTTTAAAAATTTTTTAATTTAATAAAATTTTAATTTTAATAATTTTTAAATTTTTTCCTTTTACAATTTTAATTTAATTAATTTTATAAAAATTAATAAACAATTTTTTTTTAAATTTAAATTTCAGAAATTTCAATACTCTTATAAAATATAATTTCAAAAGCATAAATAAAATTTACATAGCTACTTGACAATATTAAATTCATTTTAACTAAAAAAAAAATCAAATTCGAACTTGAAATAAAATTTTAATTTTTTCCAAAACAATATTAACATTATAAATCATAATTGAATACATGTTATATGTATAAGTGTGTTAAATATAAAAATTTAAAAATTTAAATAGTCTAGAACTTAAAAAATATTTTATGTATGTATGTAAATTGTGCCAATCAATATATTATTATGAAAATAATAAAATATAGCAAAAAATAAGGAACCAAATTAAAGAAAATCAAATAAAATAATTTTTATCCTTAAAATAAAAGTTGGGTGAAATGAAGAGAATTGATAATAAAAATTTATATTATTCTTATTGTTCTTTGTGGTCCATAACTATTTTTTTTTTATAAATAACCTATATACATAATATAATAATCATTATTACATATAATTATTATAAATGTTAAATTGTAATTCCTAATATATCATAAGCATATAAGTATGTGCACATTGTATAAAACTAAAAATTTCTAATAATATTTAAAGAAAGAAAAAAAAAACAATGCGGTATGAAGATGATTCAATTCCCATTTTTATTGTAATAATTAAATTTGGAAATTAAAGAATAATTAATAATGATTTATTAATGATAAAATATAAAAAATCACAATAATTAATTACAAACTGAAGGAGGAAACAGAAACAATTTCTCAAAAAATAACATTCAAATTAATTTTCATTTAAACCAAAAAAATAATTAAATTAAATTTATGGTAGTTGAATGAATTTTTAAAATATTAATAATTAAATTTATTTCAATAACAATAATAATAAATATTTTTATTACGAATAACAAAAAAAGTAATAATAATTAATGAATAAATAAAATAAAATTATATTTTTAATTCATTTTATAAATAAATTCATTTAAGAATTCATTAAATAAAAAAAAAAATATTAAATTACTTATATACTCTTTACTTATATACTTAATTTATTATTTAATATTTTTAATTAATTTTATAGCTTATTATGTAAGCTTTAAAATTATTATTCAACACAATAAACAATTTCCATTTCCAATTTTATTCTATCGTATTCTATACATCTTGTTTACGATATTATTACGTAATAATAACATTTTGACAATTTCTCAAATAACATTAAGTAAGTAAATTATTATTTTTACTAAATGAAATTTTAATAAAGAAAACTTTCATATTCTATAAATACAAGTAAATTGAAATAAAAATAATTAAATATTAAATTGAAATAAATTAATATAAAATTAAATATTAAAGAGAATAAAAATTATGCCCATTTTAATTCAATAAAAAAATAATAAATTCCTTGTATTTTTTTTTTAATAAAAATGGAATGGATGAAAAAAATTATATAAAATTGAGAATTTCTCTTTCTTATAATTTTCATGTTTTTTTTTTCTTTTTTACCTATTAATAAATACAAAAAATTTACACACAAAAAATAATTAAAATAAAAGTGAGTCAGTTAAAAAATTAAAAAAATATACAAAGTAAAAAATAAAATAAAAAATTTTAATCTAATAAAGTGTTGTATAAAATAAACTAATTTTACTTGTGTTGGTATGTATATGTGTAAAATCTCGTAAAATAATAATAACTATTTATACAAAAAAAAAAAAAATAAAAAGTGAGAAAGAAAGAGAGAAAAATATTTATAATTTGTTCTTTTATTTTGAAATTTGTATTTGTATAATAAAATAATAAAAAAAAAATTAGTGGAAAATAAGAAGAAGAAAAAGAAAGGAAGAAGAGAAAAAAAAATTAAAGGGAAAAATATTTTGTAATAAAAATTTTTATTAGAAAAATATCTAAATTAATAATTTATATATATATACATATATGTATGTATATGTATATATGTTTGCTGAATATATTAAATAAATAAATAAATTAATGTACGAATATCATGGATACCCTATACTGGATAATATTCGTATTTTTTAGTTTATTTTCAACAAATCCAACAAGTGAGTCTTTTATAATATTTTCTCTTAATGCTTAAATTTAATATAATTAAAATTTATTAAATATATTATTTTATAGTTAGCTATAATAATGTCAGTCAAAATTTTTATTCATTTAAAATAAATAGGTATAGGCAACTTACATAAGCCTTTTGAGTGCAAGTTATATATTCGCTTACGCCCGGAACACCAAAAAATAAAATTTAACTATAACTAAAATTAAATCGAACGTTGCGATCAAATTTCCATACTTTATTACTTAAACCTATTCTAAATCATTTAATCGCAACGTGATTTGACAAAAACAAAATATTTATTTTAAATTAAAATTAAAATTCAACGTTGCAATTAAACTCCTATATGAAATCATTTAATTGCAACGTGATTGAACTTTTACAGACAAAACTAAAGCAAAGTTCCAAATATTCAAATTACAATATTAAAACTTTCCCATGAGAATTATTCTAAACAATTTTTTGCTTACTAAACAGTTATTTCTTATAAATAGAGTAAATTCAATAGCAGCTTTGCTTGGTTGGTAGTTCAGTAGCTCGTTAGTTATTAAATCGTTTTGCCGTTTAGAAAATAAAGATTTAAAAATAAAGTTAATAAGTTTGGAATTGGAAATTAAAGTGTAATTAATTAATAAATGAAATAAAAAGAACTTTTATAAATCTTAAAATATTTTTTGTGTAAAGTAAAAACTTATAGTTTAATTTAATAAGTTTGGAATTGGAAATTAAAGTGTAATTAATTAATAAATGAAATAAAAAGAACTTTTATAAATCTTAAAATATTTTTTTTGTGTAAAGTAAAAACTTATAATTTAATTTGCACACATGTTCCACTTTTGTCCAGCAATATTTTAAAAATGCGATCGTTTGTAAATTATCTAACTACTTAGATAACTTTAAACTCACAAGAGCGAAAGTAAAAAATTTGAGAACATAAGAAACTATAAGTGTTTTTATTGTACAGAGATATTAAAAAATAAAAAATTCAAACTGTTTTTTTGCAAATTTAAGGACAAGAAACGAAAGTGGTACATCTATGCACTCAACGTTCCTAAAAAATAAGTGTGTACTCAAAAGGTTAAAATTAACGCTTAGAACTAATACTGGCGCTACTCCTTATATATAAGACAAGGATATTAAATACCGAAGCCTAATTATATGAAAATCTCAAGTAAAATACCAGCTTAGAGAAAAATGAATATCTACGTTTCATTTACGTGTTTAAACTTCTTGTGAATGTGCATACACGGGCAACTTCTGAACTGGAAAGTCTTTTTCGCTATATATGAGTAAAATATATGAGTAAAATAAAACCACAATTTTTTTGGTATTATTTAAAGTTCAGTTTAAATTGCTTACTTCATTGAAAAAAAATACCCATTGGCAATCTTAGACTTTTAGTTTTTAAAATATAATTAAAAAAATTGAATTGGCAAAAGCTACAATGTTGTATTTTAATCGAATGCCAAAAATAACTAGGAAAATATAAAGTCCTCCTGTTACAAATCAAAGAAAAATTTCCATATTCCAAAAAAAAAACTTTTCGTAACTACACTGAGCAATTACGCGTTTGTTTGAAGTGGTAAATTTTATGCTGAGGTTGTTATTATTAATTGCAATTTGTTATTCTTATATAATTTGAAATATATGTACATATATAAATTATTTTTTATTTTAAAAATAATTTTACGAAATTTGAAAGGAATTCTTTTGAAATTCAAAGAATTTTGTCGTTTTTTTTTGTTACGGCCCACTAGATTTCCATTTTCATTTGTACATATTTATATCCATATGTATAATGTATATGTACATTAAAAATACCAAAAGTCAGACTCCTTTGCATTATTTACTTAAACTGTAAGGACTTTTTTCCATTAGTTAAATTTTATTTATCAAATGCACGCAGAATGTGGTTGTATCAAAAATAAATTGATTTTCTAAGAACGGTCGGAGTTCGCCAAATACCAAATTTCTTATAATTGTTGGCATTTGGTTACATCTCATATTTTATGCTGTAATTTAAACTGATCGATTTAAAAGTACAAAAACTCCTTCAGGCGCTCAACAATTTTATGAATCGAAAAATTCAAAAATTTTCACAAAAAACTTCAAGGAATTTCCTTTTCTTCTTTTCGAAATTATTTGCATATATACATATGTACATATAATACATATACAAATCGAATATTGCAAAAGGACTTTATTGTCAAAAACTGAAAACTCCAAAATAATTTATTAATTAAATGTTCATATGTTATGTTTATTTATTTATTTTTTGTTGGTTTTATTTTGCAAAATTCATTAAATTCCACTTTGATTTATAGTGTTCATATAAAAACTTATTCTTTATATAATTTAATTTCTGTATATAAATTTGTGTATACGAATAGTACTTAAATTATTTTAATCACTAAATAAAAATATTACCTTTTAACCCTAAGATAATAATGAAATCTTAATTATATTATACAATAAACACATACACTTACATATTATTAAACTATAGTTCGAAAATGTGTGTAAATTGTGTATAGTTTGAGAAATTTAGTAGAACGAAATATCCTTGAAAAATCTAAAAAGAAAAATTTATTAATTTGTTCAACCAAAATTTATTATAATTTAACAATTAAAATTACATCACATTCTCTTGACATTGTATACACGATTACAACCAAATGAATGTATGCTTGTTTAGGTATTACAATTATATATACCCGTTTACATATTCTACATATACATGACTACATATTAATGTAAATTATTCCACATGCAGAATATTAAAGTATGTACATAAATGTATGTATACTACCATAATATAATAATTTATTGTAAATAAAGGGTAGGAGAAATTATATATAATTTACTTAGTATTTTACCAGACTATTACAGGACATTATTGTAAATATTATAATTGTAAATTGCGTAATTTTCGTTTCATTAATCTTTACAGTACAATTTTCTTTTTGTTCTTTTTTTTTTTTGTGTTTTAAGGGAGAAAGAAAAATAGAATTTCTGTCGTACATAATATTGTTTTCTTTATAATTTTTTGGTAATGATATCATTTCTATGCAAGACATTATTTTACTACATTTTCGAATATATTAATGGAAAAAAAACAACAGAGAAAAAAAAAATTATATGTTAAGTAAGGTTTTTACATATGAACTACGTTTTCAGAGACATGCAATTATAACAGAAGATTTTCCATTATGTACGACATGGGCCCAAAAAGCGCTCTGTTTATTCTTGTCGACATTTATTTATAGCAAAATTACTTTTAATTAAAGTTAGTTCGGTGCAGTTCCGTGTAGTTTCTTCAAATTTAATTCCATATCAATTAGGGAATTACACATTAATTTGTATTGAATTCCCCACCGACAGAACTTATCGATTCTCCATTAAAAAAATCTTTCTATATTTTTGATTTTCAAAATAAAATTTGAATTTTTCCTACGAACTTTGATGAATCGAATTTTTAACTGTACTTACCAAACTGAAGACAAAATAATTAACAACAACAGAAATTGAATTTGGGTTTCAATCATTAACTCGTCATATTTGTAGAAATTCCGGATGCTAGTAAAAAAGAGGCTCTTTTTTATTATATCTGGCTCTGGTTATAGAAATAAAGAATGCGCTCGTTAAGACGCCGACATGGCGGAATGGGAAGGATAAATCTAAAGCTGAACATAAAATCACAACTGAGGCTAAGGCGAGTTCGCTTTAATAAACTAATTAATATTAAAAATTTTTTTCAATTCAAAAATCTTAATAAAGCTCCAACTTGAAGAGTTGAACTTTGTTTTCCCTCATATAGAATATCTTTCGAATTCCTTATTTAGAAAAACTTTTTAATAACGCTCTTACGTACCTAACAAATTCTTAATTCAGCAATGTACAACTTATATATTATGCTTTAGATTTTGTTTTGCTTTTTTTTATTCAAAATATATTCAAAATGAAAGTTTTTTTATTTTTTGTTTATTTTTGGTATATGAAAGTACGAAGAGAACGTGCTCTGTTTTTATTAGAATTCTAACAAAATTTCATTGAAAATTTTTTTGTTTTCTTAACATTTTAATTTTTTATTTTTTTTTTTTTGTTTTTTTTTCCTGTTAAAGAACATAAAATTATGAAACAAATACATAAAGTTATGATATCTTTAAAATTTCTATGTTTATTTTATTTTTTTACTTTACAAAGAACAACATTAGGAAAATATTAAATTAAGACAAAACTAAAAAAAAAAAAAGAAAGAAAAACAGAAACAGTAAGAATAACAAAATGTAAACGATAAAGTATAAAATATCCTTGAAAAAGGAAATTTTTTGGAATACAAAACTGAAGAGAAACAGACAATTTTGTATACCCTTGAATTGAAAATAACTTAAAAATTTTTATGTACTAGTAACTAGTATATCTGAGAATATTTTGCACAATACCTAACAACACTACATATATAAGTTTTGTATGTATGTATAGGTACATAGAAGCTAATGCGAATATAAGAAGGGAAAGGGATAATGTAAGTTTCCTCTTAAATTAATTAAGAAGATGATTTTATTTTATTTTTAGTATTTGCAAATAGAAAATTTATTATTAAAATTTTTATTTTTAATATTAATGATTGATTTTTCAGAAATCAATTTCGAAAATAATTATAAATAAACTAAATTTTTTCATAAATAAATAAATTTAATTTTGCTTCTAAAATAATTACCTGCAAATCATAACTACTTAGTTTAGAAATTTTAATTTGAGAGTATTACAAAAAGTGCTATTGTAAGCTTTAAAGAAATTTATTAATTTTAGTACGAGCAATACCACAATCGCCTGGTATTTACATAAAATATACTGACAAATCTATGTTTAAGGATATTTGGTGGTAACTGTCTTCACCAAACCAAATAGTTAACACCAAATCATAGTAACTGTGATTATTATTTTGGGAAATTTTCAATGCTCTTTTAAGAGATTTTATTGAATGTA